ATAGAGAGATATGGTGGCTGTTCAGTTGATTACCTGGAAGCCATTGATTCTACCTGCACAAGCTTTTAGAAGGGATCGGTTCGCTTCTTTTAACAGGTTTTTTTTTTTTTTTTTTTTTTTATTTTTAAATTCCTTTCTTAATTATACGATAATTTTGAAAACAATTGCATGGTGGTGACTTATCCATAAGATAATGATTACGAAGTGTGTGATGCTCAGAAGTTTTGAGTGTTTTTGTTAGAAATAAGCTCTGTTTTTCCAAATAAACTGATAAAAAGACTTAGAGAACACGATCTTTTATCATCTAAGTGATCACTACTAAGTAACCAGAGAATCTCCCGAGCTTCTCTCCCAAGAATCCTCTCAAGAAAAGCCAAACCCTCTCTTTCTTTCTTTCTGTATTCTCTTTTCTTCTTTTAATCCGAACCCTCTAGTTCCGTCAGAGTCTTCTTCTTCCTTATCTTCCGGTGAAGCTGCTTCATGTTTTGCTTACTGTAATTGTAATGTAGCCAAGCTCAATGGTTTCGATTAGAAAATGTGACGATTTTTTAAATTTGGAGTTCTAATGGAAGTTCTGAATCTGGGTTTAGGGTCTAGTTTCAAATGGAATTTGATGTTTTCAAGATAATTTATATCGTAAAATGATTCAAATCTGCAAATTGTCATTCAATGAAAGCTCATTGGGTTGTGATGCTTACAAGTTGTGTATCTGAATCTTGTTTTTGCAGGAGCTTGAGTTTACACACTCTGCCTTTAGGTGGGATTAAGTCTTTTAGTATCAGAGGTCAGGTTCTGAATATTCTTCCAATTTTTGATGCAATTCTTCAGGGTCTCGTTATTGGTGTTCTTCCTCAATGATACTCCTACTACTTGATTAGCTAATGTTATTTTATCTCTATATGACAGGGACCTTCAAAGTCAAATCTCAAAAGACAGGAGATACAGAGCCGCCTAATCAAAACTTCAAAGATTTCAATTCCAAGGTGAAGCTATAAAATGAATTTTATCTCTCTGTTTACTTGTGTCACTGAATGTATTATCTCTCCATATGCAGAGTCTTCCATATAAACTTGTGATAGGATGCATCCCACTGTATGCGGTGTTGAGGATAGCGCAAAAGATATTTCAAGAGCTTCCCAATCTCTTTCAGAACTCAGTGAAGGCTGGCTTGCCTTTTGCTTGTGCATCAAACTCTATAGACAAACATCCTTTACTCAAGGCCATTCCTTCTTCCCATGATATCAAATGGGGTCTTGCAAGGTCTTCTTACCTCTTCAATACTCAGCTTGAGAAGAACCTTGGCACGTATGTCCTATACCCAATACTTGTTATGTAGTATCCGAATTTTGCCCGAGTATTGTTGTTAGCAGGCATGTGATTATATTTGAGATCCGTTCTGATCACTTGTCATGCCTATTGTAGGGTATTTGTAGTGCTTCTGATAACATGCTTTTCGTTTGTTATCATTGGAGGATTCTTCTTTTTCAAATTCAGGTAACATAGCTTTATTTAAGAATTACTTCTTGTGATTTCCATTGCATGGTTTCTTACTTTTATTCCCTTCTTGTTGTGAAGGAAAGACACATCCTTAGAAGACTGCCTCTGGGAGGCCTGGGCATGCCTCGTTAACTCTGATACTCATCTTGAGGTCATGATTTGCTTCTTCACAGAACAACTTATATAAGTCTCACCATATTTCTATGGAGTTCTTGCTACTAAATAAAGGCATGTGTATATGTTTACTGATAACTGCAGCAAAAGACACGCTTCGAAAGACTCATTGGATTTGTCCTAGCCATTTGGGGAATAGTGTTTTACTCTCGGCTTTTAAGCACAATGACAGAACAATTTCGGGTACGTTCTTGAGATAAACACTACTGGTTAATTGGTACAAGTTATCCTGATCGATTTGTCTTGTGCAGTATCATATGAAAAAAGTGAGGGAAGGGGCACATATGCAAGTCCTAGAATCTGACCATATCATCATTTGTGGAATCAACAGTCATCTGCCTTTCATACTGAAGCAACTCAACAGTTATCAACAGCATGCTGTCCGCTTAGGTACCGCCACAGCTAGGTAATTTAAATTTGGTCACTGCATTAATTTAATTTCACCGCTTATGTTGACTTGGCTAATCACTTTTCCTTGTTATATGCTTTCAGGAAGCAGACACTTCTGCTCATGTCTGATACTCCAAGGAAAGAGATGGATAAGCTTGCTGAGGCGTACGCCAAAGATTTTGATCAACTTGACATCCTTACAAAGAGGTAATATGCACAAGTGAACCTGAAATAAATTCATGCCATATTAATTATTGTTCTTGTTGTTTTGCATATATTTTACAATGCTGATTTCATGCTTCTACCAGTGCAGTTGTAGTCTTACCATGACAAAGTCATTTGAGAGGGCTGCCGCCTGTATGGCCCGTGCCATTATCATACTACCAACGAAAGGTGATCGGTAAGAAACTTTCATGGGAACAAAGAAAAAATCTGTTCTCAAACCTGTCAGTAGTTTGTAAAAGAGGAATCAATTAAGTTAAACATCGTTTTAGGTATGAAGTTGATACAGACGCATTTCTTTCTGTATTGGCCCTTGAACCTATACAAAAGATGGAATCCATCCCAACCATTGTAGAGGTAACTGAAGATTGTGCAGCAATGGTTTTCTGTTTATAGTGCTGATTTGTTTCCTATCTTTTGCTTTTCTTTGCTTCTGAAAATGAATGCAGGTATCAAGCTCTAATACGTATGATCTTCTCAAGTCCATATCGGGGTTGAAAGTGGAGCCGGTTGAAAATTCTACATCCAAATTGTTTGTCCAATGCTCACGTCAAAAGGACCTGATAAAGATCTACAAGCACCTACTAAATTACTCAAGTAAGATACTATATGTCTGAAATTTTAATGTTTTGTTATTAACTTTGTATTCAATACTGATTAGTACCAAGTCTCTACTCGTTGCAGAAAATGTATTTAACCTTTGCAGCTTCCCCAATCTAACTGGGATCAAGTATAGACAATTAAGACTGGGGTTCCAGGAGGTAGGATTGACAATGTTTTGAGCATGTTTTTGAATCATTACCTTTTAGTCTGTGGCCTTTTAAGAGATGTATTCCTCCTTCCAGGTTGTGGTCTGTGGCCTTTTACGAGATGGGAAAGTAAATTTCCATCCAAATGATGACGAAAAGCTCATGGAAACCGACAAACTATTGTTTCTTGCACCTCTCAAGAAGGAATTTTTATATACAGACATGAAAACTGAGAACATGACAGTAGATGAGACTGATGATACTAGGAAGCAAGTGTTCGAGGAAAAAAAATCACGGCTAGAAAAGATTGTAACGCGTCCTAGTAAATCCTTATCAAAGGTATGACACCAAACTGTCCCCCTACAATGCTTGAACTATATATGATATTAGGCTTTAGAGACCTTTGACGTTCATTTCTATGGTTTACACAGGTATCAGATTCTTTCAAAGGACCCAAAGAATCTATACTTTTGCTTGGTTGGCGTGGAGATGTTGTGAATATGATCAAGGAGTTTGATAATTATCTTGGTCCAGGAAGTTCATTGGTATGCTCATATACCATTATCTCTCTCTGGTTGGCTCTCATGGAATGAGTTACTAATAATTTTCTTTACACACAGGAAATATTATCAGATGTACCGTTAGAGGACAGAAGAGGAGTGGACAAGAGTATAGGTTCAGGAAAAATCAAGAACATCCAAGTTTCACATAGCGTAAATTTCATTTTCACTGGAAAAAACAAGAATTAGCTTCAAAATCATTGTGTATTGATGTTTTTCAATCTTTTGCAGGTTGGGAATCATATGGATTATGACACATTGAAGGAAAGTATAATGAACATGCAAAGTAAACATGAAAAAGGTGAAGAAGATATTCGTCTGACTATCATTGTTATATCGGATCGAGACTTGCTTCTTGGAGGTACGCATTCATGATTTATTCTTCTTGATTCTGTCTTTGGAAATAGTGATCTCACTAACAAATAGTTTGATATCTTTTAGATCCATCTAAAGCAGACAAACAATCTGCTTACTCTCTTCTCCTTGCTGAAACCATCTGCAACAAGCTTGGAGTTAAGGTAGTGTTAGGGACTATTAACCACATCCTACTTCATTGAACTTTCATCTTACTATTGTTGTTTCTTTAGGTACATAATCTAGCCTCTGAAATCGTCGACACAAAACTCGGCAAGCAGGTATTGAAAGGCTTTTTTTTTTTCTTTTCCTGTTAGCTTTTTTATTGGTAAGTTGCTAAAACATTATACAAAACCATACCAGATAACAAGACTCAAGCCATCCCTGACTTTCATAGCAGCGGAGGAAGTTATGAGTCTTGTAACAGCACAAGGTTACATTTACTCGATCTTTGTTTCTTGTCTATCGACACGCAATCCAAACAATAGTAATACTCTTTTCTTTATAATCAGTTGCTGAAAACAGCGAACTAAACGAGGTATGGAAGGACATTTTGGACGCAGAGGGTGATGAGATATACGTAAAGGTTAAACAAGAAAAACACACTCTTACTTCAAATCTTTTTGCCAGTAACTTTTACAATATTCACAATCCTTGCTGGTCTGAGAATCTTGAGTTTGCTTCGAACACACAGGACATTGAACTGTACATGAAAGAGGGCGAGAACCCATCATTCACGGAGCTCTCAGAGCGAGCTTGGCTAAGGAGAGAAGTTGCCATAGGCTACATAAAAAGTGGTAAAAAGGTACTGTTTTATATATTACTCTTCAACAGACATTAACCCTTTTCCTCTTCACAAACTCAGGTTTGTTGTTGTTGTTGCAGGTAATCAATCCGATTCCAAAGACAGATCCTCTCTCCCTCGAAGTGGGAGACTCATTGATTGTTATATCCGAGCTAGAAGGAGACCAAATTATAACACTATGAAGCTATAGAGAGATTGGTATTCCACATGTTATAGTTTCTCACTAATGCAAGCATCAAGATAAGTCTGTTGATTTTGTACAAAGAAACAAATCCTTGTACATTTCATTCTTTCTTTGACCCTGAAATAAAATCAGTCTTTTGACCGGAAAATGGTAAAACCTACTATATGCAATAAAAAAATAAAGGTTCCAAACATAAATACATGATTTAAAGACTAAGACAGCATTGAGTTGATAAGATGATAGACAACTAAACAATTGTTTGTTGTGAGAAGGTAAGAACCATCTCAATCATTTGTTTCAAATTCAGTTGTATCATCAATGTAACCTCCCAATCCAGTTGAACAAATGGGTCTTGTTTATATCCTAGTCTTCCTTATCATTGCCTACCGTCAACTTAGTTGCCAATTGTACTGAGATATATTGTCTTCTCTAGTGTTTTCCAGTAGAAACTCCATGAATGAAGTCATGAGTTTCGGCTGAAAAGAAGTCGAGAAGTCCAAATCTTTTGGTTTCCAGCACTGATTCTGATCCAACTCTTTCAAATCCAAGTAGTAATTAAGATCAGCATCCTGTAAATCATAAAATGTTGAATTTAAAGATTCTTTGTCAATATGGATTAGGAAAAGAAAAGAAAAGTAAAGGACATGGTTTTTGGATTATGATATAATGTAAAGTAGGAATAAGAGGTTATGGTAAGTATACCGGTACGATGTTGCTGTTCACAATGTCTAGTTTTAGCATCTTCACTCCAGGTGAGTTTTGTAACAGCTTTGCTATACCAGGAATGACAGACGGAACAATCATCGTTTCAAGAATCAAAACTTCGACTTTGAGCATCGGAAAAGGAATATCACAGATTTCGGCAAGAGATAACATCTACAAAAATGCAAAACGAAGCTTATTGTTCATGTTTTCAGAACAATCTACCAATGACAAACAACAATATTTTGGCTTAAAACAATCTAAACCCACTAGAATTATCAATAGTGACTGTGCAAACAACTAGGGACAAGCTTACCTGAAGAAAGGTAGCCCCAAAAGTAAGGTTCTCCACATTGTGCAACTTTTCAAGCATATTTAGCACATAAACTTGAAGCAAATCAGATTTGAAATGATAAAAACTTGTACAGTAGATGTTCAAGTAAGCTTTGGTTAAAGAAGAGACATCCACTAAACCACATTGTGACTGAGAGTGTCTCAATCTCAAACAACGGATATGTGGCGCCACAATCTGCGTTGGTCCCTGAGTATCTAAATCCAATCTCTTTAACTGCAGCAACTTGCTCAGATCAAGAATCTCAAGTCTATCACAGTGATGCAATGTCAAGCTTTCGAGATTCAGGTAAGGTTATTACCTGAAGAAAGTTAACCCCAAAAGTAAGCTTCTCTACGTTTTGAAACTTTTCTAGCATTGCTTGCACTATACCTTGAAGAACATCAGGCTTCAAGAGCTGAAAACTGTAATAACAGCAACCTGGTTCGATATAGCTAATGTCTACTTTAGCTTCAGTTAAAGAGGAGACATCAACTAAAGTACATTGTGCCTCAGAGTTTCTCAATCTCAAATAATGGATATGGGGCGCCACAATATTTATAGGCCTTCTAAAAAAAGAGGAGAAATCTATATCCAATATCCTCAAGTGCAGCGATTTACTCAGATCAAGATACCTAACTGAATCATAACTATACAATCTCAAGGTTTCCAGGATTGGACAACCAGACAGAATCTTAAGAAAGGATTCATCAGAGAGTTCACAACAGCTCAAAGACAAGTACTTTAGTGACGTCCAAGACACGGTGCATCTGGGAATCATCTCATTACATCGTGAGTCTACTATGAGGTTCTTTAGAGAGGAATTGCTGTAGAAGAAATCTGGAAAACTGTAATTCATCGTTGTGAGAAAACCACGGAACTCCAGAAAAAGATCATCCACGTTGTGAGACATTGCAAACTCGATCCAGCTATTAACATGGTGATGAGCCGTGCTGGCTAAACGGGTACAGAGATGAAAACTCGTGATTTTGGAAGCCTTGTAGCTCGCTAGGGTTTTGTTTACCGATTCTGGGGAAACACTGAGCCATTTAAAGGAGAGATGAGGTGTCTCCGACCATACATGTCTCCATCGCCTGGACAAGACGGAGGTTCTGATCGCGAACTTTGTCGGAATATAGGAGAAGATATGTTGGAGAACCGCGTCTGGTAGATCGCTGATTGAGTCTACACCATCGATTGAATCACTTCTTGATCGTTTGATTTTGACGGGACGTTCAAAACGGTGGCTAGGGTTTCGTACAGCGACAGTGGCGTGGTCTTCCTCTTCCATGGCCATCGGATTTTAAAAAATCTGATGTGTTGCAAAGATGTGGCAGTGGGACTAATTATCTGCTTGTTAGGTTATCAAATACTATAAGTTAGGGTTCCTTAATTTAATTGAAAATTTATGACACATAAAAGTAGTTGATACCAAAACACTAAAACCCTGATGTAACATAATTTAACACCACTTCACTTGAGCATAATTTAACTTCCCCACTAAACTTCCAAGGAACTTCTCTAAGTTGAGAATCAACCCATATAAAAATGTTGAATGAGATGAGATCAGCCACCGCTTCGCTTGAGCAGAATTGAGACCTTATTGTTATGAGAAAGCGTGAGAGCGATTTGAGACAGCTCTTCAAATCTTGATCTATTAATGCAACTTCCCAAATGTAAAACCAATGTCTCTAGCGTTTTTGTGTTTGCCAGCAAAAGTTCCATGAACGAAGCCATGACTTTCGGCTTTATAACTTCATACTCCCACGGAAAGAGAAAGGCCACATCTTTCAATTGCTTCTTCAAGTAGCTGTTGACACACTCCCACTGCAAAACAGAAAAGAAAGGGAAGGCAATGCTTCTTTTTTGGGTTGTTTATACTATGTAATATATTAAAGGTAATTAAAGAGGTTCACGGTAATGAGATACCAGTAAGATGCTGCACTCGTCAATTGTGTAAAGTACTGTTAACTTCTCTAATCCAGGTGAGTTTTGTAATAGCCTTGTTATACCAGGAACCACAGTTGGCATAATCCTTGTTTCAAGAGTCAGATTTTTGACTTTGAGCGTCGGTAATGGAAGACTAGGGATCTTGGAAAGAGATAACATCTAACAAAAGATTGACAAAAAAGCACAAAAAGGTGTGAGTACCACAAAAAAACAGACCTCTCAACAAATGAAAAGCCAAAGCAAAACCTTTAGTCATAAAGTAATTAGCATGTTTGATCATGTTATCCACAGAGAAACGATGATAAAGAGGGACAAGAATATCAAAGCCTTATGAAAACTTATCAATCAACCAAAATATTGACTGTTCATTCTAAAGAGATATTGATTCAGCAACATTTAGATTTCTAGAGGCATTAAAAGGATTTAAAGAATGGTAAGATTATTACCTGAAGAAAGTTAACCCCCAAAGTAAGCTTCTCTACGTTCTGAAACTGTTCTAGCATCGTTTGCACCGTGACTAGAAGAACACTAGGGTCTAAGGGCTCAAAACCATGATAAAGGGTTCTAGGATGAAAATCGGTAAAGTCTACATTAGCTTCTGTTAAAGAAGAGACATCAAGTAAGGTGCATTGTGCCTCAGAGTCTCTCAATCTCAAATAACGGACATGTGGCGCCACAATCTGCATTGGTTCTGGAAAAGGGTTGCGGCGTTCTATCTCCAATCTTGTCAAGCGCAGCGATTTACTCAGATCAACATACATGAGTGAGATACAAAACTTCAAACTCAAGGTTTCCAGGATTGGACAACCAGACAGAATCTTAAGTAAGGAATCATCAGAGAGTTTACAAGAGCTTAAAGACAAGTTCTTTAGTGATGTCCAAGAAACGGTGCATCCGGGACTCAAATTCACAAAAGGCATTTTTTTTTTTTTTTTGGTGTAAAGATGTTGCAAATTGACCAAGAGTTGCTTCACAGAGGAGTTGGTGAAGAAAAGATCAGGAAAACAATAACTCCTTGTGAGATTACTGATCGTCAGAGAAAGATTCTCAACGTTGTGAGACATTGCAAACTCGATCGAGCTATTAACATGGTTAGCCTTGTAGCAGTAACGGGTACAGAGATGGAAACTCGTGATTTTGGAAGCCGAGTAGCTGGCTAGGGTTTTGTTTATCAATTTAGGGGAACCACTGAACCAACCAAAGGAGAGATGAGGTGTCTCGGACCATACATGTCTCCATCGTTTTGACAAGACGGATGTTCTGATAGCAAACTTTGTCGGAATATAGGAGAAGATATGTTGGAGAACCGCGTCGGGTAGATCGCTGATTATGTCTATACCATCGCTTGAATCACTTGATCGTCTAATTTCGAGAGGACGATCAAAACGGTCGCTAGGGTTTCCTACAGCGACGGTGGCGTGGTATTCCTCTTCCATGGCCAATCGGATTTCAAAAAATCTTCAAGTGTTGTTACTAATTATTGATTTAGTATTTTTAGTGGAATAATTAGAAGAAAAAAATCGTTTAAGGAAAATTAAAATAGCTAACTATTTTCATTTTTCAAGTTATCAAACAATTTTTTGGGTTCCTTAATTTAATTGCAAATTTATCAAATACGAGTATTTTTTAGGGTTAGGGTTCCTTAAAAGTGATCATCAACTGAAAAATGAGGCTTGATCTCATAAAAAAAAAATAATAATAACGAGAACATAAAAATAATAATAATAACGAGAACACAAGAAGACATACTTAGCAGGATAGTTTAGTATGTGAATGTGAGGACCATATATACTCACTAATAGAGGTTAAATTTGGTGAAGCTGAACTAATTCCCCCCTAGTATAAAGATGGGTTCTATGGGATCCTACACTAAAACCAGAATGTTACATGATTTAACACTGCTTCACTTGAGCACAATTGAGACCTCATTGTTGTGAGAAAGCGTTAGAGCGATTTGAAACTGCTCTTCAAATCTTGACCTATAATCATCAGTGTAACTTCCCAACCGTACAACCAATGTCTCTAAGGTAATTGTGTTTGCCAGCAAAAGTTCAATGAACGAAACCATGAGTTCCGGCTCAGGAACTTTAGAATCCCACGAGGTCGGAAAGACCACATCTATTGATCTCCAACCTTGATTCGGATTCAAGTTCTGCAACTCCAAGAAGCTGTCGCATTTATCCTGCAAACCCGAATAAGATTTTATCATGAAAACTATCACCCTTTTAAAGTCTGTACATATCTCAATCTTCTAGATTAACCAAAGAAAGGGAAGGACAAATGCATTTTGTAATATACGAAGGATAGTACAAGAGGTTCATGGTAAAAGATACCAGTACGGTGCTGAACTGCGTTGTGTAAATTGTTATCTTCTTTACTTGAGGCGAGTTTTGTACCAGTCTTGCTATACCAAGAACCACAGGTCGCATAATCATTGTTTCAAGGGTCAAAGTTTTGACTTTGAGCTTCGGTAAAGGAACACCATGGAGCTTGGATTTAGATAAATAATCTAACAAAAGGTTGACACAAAAGTATAAGAAGATAATGAATATCAAACACACAACTCTCAACAAAAGAAAACCGTTAATCATAATCTAGTTATCATGTTCATGTTTTCAAAACATCTACATGGAAACGCATCTTCAAGAATTACTTAAGGATATGTGCTTATACTTGAATATCAAAGCCTTATCCATCAACCAATATTTACTGTGTAACCAACTAATTGCAGCTTAAGTGAGTCTACAACAGAGAATTAAGGATTTAATTAAAGAATGGCAACATTACCCGAAGAAAGTCAACCCCAAGAGTAAGCTTCTCTACGTTCTGCAACTTCTCTAGCATTGCTTGCACCATGACTAGCATCAAGGAGTCGGATTTATAATAAGAGAAACTAAGAAATAAATAGTTATCTGAAGAGTCTACGTCAGCTTCAGTTAAAGACGAGACATCAAGTAGAGTGCATTGTCCTCTCAATCTCAAATAATGGATATGTGGTGCTACGATCTTCATTGGTTCTCGAACCGTATTGCAGCAAATTATATCCAATCTTCTCAAGTAGAGCGATTTACTCAGATCAAGATACTTAACTGAATCATAATTATGCAATGTCAAGCTTTCCAGCAGTGGACAACCAGACAGAATCTTAGGAAAAGATTCTCATTAGAGAGTTTACAAAAGATCAAAGACAAGTACTTTAGAGATGTCCAAGAAACGGTGCAACTCGGAATCAACTCAGCAGGTCCCGAGCTGATCAAGAGTTGCTTAACAGAGGAATTGGTGTAGAAGAAACCTGGAAACTTGTAATCCCTAACACGGGCATCACGAAAATCCAGTGAAAGCTTCTCTGCGTTGTGAGAAATGGCGAATTCGATCCAACTATTAACAAAGTGAATCCTGTTGTGCAACCTTGTGAAAAGATGGAAACTTATGATTTTGATGGCCGTGTAGTTGTTTAGGGTTTCGTTTACTATGCTCATCAAAGGAGAGATGAGGTGACTCGGACCATACATGCCCCCATCTTTTGGACAAGACAGAGGTTCTGATGGCGAAGTTGGTCGGAAAAAAGGAGAGGATACGGTGGAGGATGTCGTCGGGTAGAGAGCTGATTGAGTCTACACCGTCGCTTGAATCACCTGCTTGTTCGATTTTGAGGGGACGACTGAAACGGTGGCTAGGGTTTCCTATAGCGACGGTGGCAAGGTCTAATTCATCTCGGAAATCGTCTTCCATGGCTGTTAGATTTCAAAAAATCTATGTTTCAAAAATTAGATTATATACTTTTTGTTAATGATTGATTAATAGAGTAAATCAATTTATGATGGGTAAATTTATCGAGACATTGGTTTAGCAAAAAGATAGGGTAACTCTTTTAATAATTAAAGAAATTAAATTATTTTTGTTTAGATTTTGAAGAAATTAATTTCTGGAGTTAGTTTCTGAAATTAATCCTAAATCTTTAAATGTTTAGTTGAGATTTAGGATTTAAATTTATGACTAGGGAGTATTAAAAAGTCTAAACTGTTTTTTTCAGATTTTGATATAAATCTAATGAAATCAAGACTTTAATAAAGACTTTTACTTTAAAAAAGGTTTTAAAAACTAAAATTTTGCCAATCACGGTTTTTACTTATTTTCTATTTTAAAGTTTCTAAAATCACTACTTTTTTTTTAGTTATTTTTCTTTCATTGTTTTTAAAATCATGGCTTTCGAATCTCTCTATTATCAAAGTTAAATTAAAAACCTTCTCTTTTTAAATTATTATTATTATTCGCTCTATTGGTATTAACTTTTTTCTAATCTATATCTAATTTACACGCACTGATTGGTAATGACGGTTACATTTCTAATCTCTAATGACAAAAGTAATCGTCGTTACTAATCGGCCCCTAAATCTCTAGTTAGCTCTTGATGGATATCAAATTGATAAATTCGATCGTCGATAAAACATTACTTCAAGTTGGATCGGATTTGAACTTGAATTTGAAGTGACACGAAACAAAAAGCAATAGAAAATTTATTGAAAGTATAAAATACAACTAATCTGACTTACAGATTCAGAATACATTGTTGTGACTTGTGAGAGATTCAGGTCGAAAATCTAATGATACATATTTAACAATGGCTTTTGCTTTTGATCAATTAAGACATTATCGCTGAGGGAAAGTGTTGGATACATACTTTATAGAGCTTCGTTTAATCAAAACGGAGACATCGTTGTTGTGAGAAAGTGTTGTAGCCATCGCAAGAAGTTCTTCAAAACCTGATGCATCAAGGTAACCTACCAAGAGTACAACCATGGTTTCTAGACTTTTTGTACTTTTCAGTAGACGTTCCATGAACAAAGCCACGAGATTGGACTCTGCATGTTTACCCACCAACATCGAAATGGTCTCAAGAGAGCCCGGGAAGACCGAGTCTTTTGATCTCCAGCATTGACGCTGATTCAAGCTATGTAAACGCAAGTAGGCGTTCAGATGCAATTCCTGTCAAACAGAAAAACGGATTTCATCTTGCAAACTAAAAACTTGTATCCAAAAAGCGTGCCAATATCTGAAAGGAGAATAAATACTACTTGTATCCAAAAAACTTCATCATGGTTCTTGGATAAATACTATTTTGTCATAGTTATTATGATCAGATATATGAAGGAAAATAAAAGAGGTTTCATTGTAAAGATACCGATATGCTGCTGCCTTTCACAGTGTGAATTGTTAGCTTCCTTAATCCAGGTGTGTTCCGTAGCAGCTCTGTTATACCAGGAATAACAGACCGAATAATCATCGTTTCAAGAGTCAAAGTTTTGACCTTGAGCATCGGAAAAGGTACACCACAGAGCGCAGCAAGAGATAACATCTGAAAGGTATGCAAATATAGTTTATACAGCAAAACACAGACCTCGTCAAAAGAAATAAGCCAAGCACAACAAGACAAGAGCCATTGATCAAATACTTAGCATCAGGGTTCATACTTTCTTAATATCTACACAAGAGACACTGTCTAAATTAAAAGAACGAAGAGTTTAGTACGTAATCATGAAATTGAATATCAAAGCCTGATCAACCAATATCTGCCTATGCAAACAAAACCAACTGATTCGAAAGGAGCAAGCTATGCAATTCAACGACATAGAGATTTGTAGGTCTAAGAGGACGCGAAAAATGGCTAACAAACCTGAAGAAAAGTACCCCCAATAGTAAGCTTCTCTACATTCTGCAACATTTGTAGCATCTTTACCACATTATGTTGAAGAAAACCAGCGGTAAGTGTTCCAAGATCGCAAAAGTAAATGTTCAAGTCAGCTTCGGTTAAAGAAGAGACATCCACTAAACTACATGGTAATCGAGAGTGTCTCAATCTCAAACAATGTAGATGCGGCGCCACAATCTTCGTTTGCCCCATAAACCAATCGCTACGGTCAATCTCCAATCTTTTTAAACGCGGTGATTGACTCAGATCAAGACACATGAATTCAGCACAATACAACAATTCCAAGCTTTCCAGAAGTGGAGAACCAGAAAGAATCTTAAGAAATGATTCATCAGAAAGTGTGCAAAAGCTCAAAGACAAGTTCTTTAGAGATGTCCAAGAGACAGAGCATCTGGGAATCAAATCAACAGATCCAGAGTTGACCAAGAGTTGCTTCACAGATGAATTGGTGTAGAAGAAATCAGGAAACTTGTAATCCCTAACACGGGAATCACGAAACTCCAGTGAAAGCTTCTCCGAGTCGTGAGAAATGGCGAATTCGATCCAGCTATTAAGAGGATCAATCCTGTTGAGTAAGCTTGTACAAAGATGGAAGCTCGTGATTTTGGGAGCGGAGAAGAAAGCTAGGGTTTTTTCGATCGAATTAGGGTCGGTTCTACGGCAATCAATGGAGAGAGAAGGTGTCTCAGACCAAACATACCTCCATCGTTTGGACAAGAGAGAGGTTCTGATCGCGGATTTGGTCGGGACAGAGGAGAGGATATGGTGGAGAATTACGTCAGGTAGAGAGCTGATGAAATCTACACCGTCGATTGAATCGCCTGTTATCATGTTTTGGCGGGGATGAGAATCAAAGAGTGGTGGCTAGGGATTTCAACCGCCGCGGAGACGCTGTCTTTCTGTATAATAAATTTTTTCAGAAATCATTATTATTTTTAAATTTTAGTCAAAAGCATTAAAATCATTATTCTTTTAAAGTTGAAGTGTTAAATTTAAAATATTTAAAATATTTTAGTGAAATTAACATGATTTTAGATAAAAGTATTATTTTTAAAAAAGTTTAAGGGTTCAATTTTTAAAAAATTTTAGTGAAAATCACTAGTATTTTTTAAAAATGAGTTTTAAGTGTGAAATCTATATTAAGTAAAAATATACTGAATTTCGAATAAAAAAACTTATGGACTAACTAAGGACAAAATTCCTAGGCGATGTTAGTTTTCGACGTATGTAAAATTTAACACTTAAACTAATTTTTAAATTTTTTTAGTAAAATTAACATAGTTTAAGTTAAAAATATTATTTTCTTAAAATTTAAGTGTTAAATTTTGTTTTAAATTTTAGTCAAAATAATATTATTTTTCAAAAACGAGTTTAAGTGTTAAATCTATATTACGTAAAAATATGCCGAACTTCGAACACCAAAGCTTATGGACCAACTAAGGACAAGATGCCTAGAAGAGGTTAGTTTTTGACGTGTTTAAAATTTAACACTTAAACTATTTTTAAAAAAGTTTTAGTGAAATTAACATGATTTTAGATAAAAATATTTTTTTTTAAGTTTAATTGTTAAATTTATTCAAAATCACCATTATTTTTAAAAACGATTTTAAATGTTAAATCTATATTACGTGAAAACATGTCGAACTTCGAACACCAAAGCTTACAGACCAACTAAGGATAGGATGCCTAGTCGCGGTTAGTTTTCGACTTTTTTTAAATTTAACACTTAAAACAAAATTTTAAAAAGTAATAGTGAAGTTAACATGGTTTTAGTTAAAAATATTATTTTCTTAAAGTTAAAGTGTTAGATTTTGTTTTAAATTTTAGTCAAAATCACTATCATTTTTTAAAAACGAGTTTGAGTGTTAAATCTATATTTTAAAAACGAGTTTGAGTCTCATCTATTTATAAGCAAAGAGGTTCAAAAGAAAAAGGAAATCACAATTAACGGTCACATAAAGATTTCTTTTTTTCTATTATTTCTTTTTTCTTTCTATGCCTTTGTTTCCTAATTTTTTCGATGGCTTTATATCCTTTCTTATTTTATTTATGAGAGAATCTGCTGAGTTTAATTAAGGTGAAGACTCAACTCATTGCCTGAGTCGATAAGGTTGATGATCCGATCCTCAAAAGTATACTAACCATTAGAGATAAGAATGGTCACTTAAAGATATTGGCTATATTATATTATGTGTAGATTTTTCTTTCAATATCTTTTAAGTGACCATTCTTATCTCTAAGACTTTGTATGTGAACACATGAACATATAAAATACAGAGAGTCAAGGGGGCAATGGTTGGACCGTGTGTATGTATACTTTGACTATTAGTTAAGACTAATTCACGAAAACCATAGGAAACACATGAGCAATTCATATATACAAAAGCACTTCAAGCAATGGCTATAATTGACCAATTCCTTACAGAAATTGAATCTATACAACTTCCCCAAGAGGTTATGTCAGTGACATTCATTGTAAACACATTCCACGTGTTCCTAGACTCGCTAAACCCCCTATGAAGCATAGAATTAACTTAATTTTAATCACATTATTGCTGCGAGAAAGTGTTGAAGCCACCTGATGCAGTTCTTTAAACCTTGTTTCATGCATTAAGCTCACTTCCTACGTGTCTCCAGTATCTTTGAGCACAAATTCCACAAACAAAGGCATGAGCTTTGGCATTGCGTCTTTTCCCGAAACACCTAAAAAGATCACGTCATTTGATCTCCAACATTGATCAGCATTCAAGCCTGGCGAATTCAAGTAGCTGTCAAGATCCTTCTCCTGTTAAAACATAACAAAAAAAAAAAGGTAACCAAACAAGCTAAAAGGTTAACTTCTTTCCAAACTTGTTCTCCAATTCTACAATGTATTTGACTATTCCAAAATGCGGAAGACAATGTTCATGGCTGTTGTTCCTACTCATTACTAGCTTATACAGGCTCAATATATCATTTAAAGGAAAATAAAACAGGTCTAGACTATGTTTCTGCTGTTCACAGGGTGTAATATTAGCTTCTTTAATCCAGGTGAATTTTGTCGCAACCTTGTTATACCAGGAAGAACAGATTGGTGAATCACTGATCTAAGAGCTCCTAAAACGATAAAACTTGTCCATCAACCATAATCTCAAGTGACACTGCAATATAGCGAGTTCTGTCTAAGCTTAAGATAATGCAAGAATGGGTGAAGAAAGACTTCCCCAATAGTAAGTTTCCCAACGTTCTGCAACTTTAGCACCATGTGTTGAAGAAAACCTGCCTTCAATTGTTCAGCTCCGCCAAACCAAATTTTCAATTTTGCTTCGGATAAAGAGGAGACATCAACTAAACCAAACAATGGAGATATGGCGCCACAATCTGGTTTGGCTTATCAATGTCGGTGTGAAGGAATCGAAGTAGACAGATATGCTTCCATCGTTTGGATAAGACGGATTTGGTTGGAATAAAGGAGAGGATGTGTTGGAGGATCACGTCTGGTTGAGAGCTGATGAAATCGATTCAATCGCCGCCTTGTTTGATTTCGCGGTGGATAGCGATTTCACTGGCGGCGGTGTCGCCGTCACCTTCTCGGCCATCATCAGCCATTGTCAGTGAATCTGTAAAGATTTTTGAAAAAAAAGGTTCATATTAAAAACATGTGACAAAATAGGAAAGAAAGATTTTGGGTAACTTTGGTATAAGATTTGCATGAGAATTACAAGATTGGATTCTGTGAAAATTAAAGAGAAAATATCATTAAAAATCACCAAATTTTGACGTTTAATTGATGTAAAAAAATAATAATTATATGTTTTTTTTTAAGATCTAAAATAATAATTATAAATACATGTTATACAAGCTTCCGTCAAAAAAAAAAAAAAACTGTAATTATATCGTTACTCGAATAAATACAGAAGACCAACGAATTGCTAAAACTTAGGAAAAAATATTACTCAATTATTGAAGTGACTGTCAAAAGTTTGGATAGATTTCTTCATGCACGAAATCATGGGTTTCAATTTATGAGAAATGAATTTAGGCGGGGCAGTCCAACAATAATGTAAATAGTACAGGTAGAAGTTGAACATCTCTTTTCTGATAAAAATGCAGGTTATTTAACCATTATGATACGATAGAGACTCTATGATTTGTTCTTATTAAAAGATCTAATTAACGTACTAGTAGTAGACATTACCTAACAACAATGTAAGGTTCGACTTATATAGTTGGTAGATATAAGCAGGTAATGTTTTGTCACTAACACATACATTAACTAGATGTTGTTTAAGGATAAAACATGCCTGTCTTTATCGTATCATTATGCTTTTGTATGCATCAACCATTTCTTTCACGGTTTTTGATTTATGAAAAAATTAAATGGATACATTGTTTGCGGTCAAAAATGAATGGCCTTTACAAAGAGATCAATAAACAATTTGAACCACTACTTCTACAAATGTCCAAGTAGATGGACAAGTAAAGAGTAGTGAGACTACCCTAAGTGTGTGCATCATGAATGTGTTGTCCGTGAAACCAAGTTTGCAAAAAATTTGAAGCTAGCTAGTAATGGTACTCGATGATGCACGAGTGATGATCCCATGTTACGTACAAGGAGATCAATGGCCTTATTACAGATTTCTGCTTTAGTTCTTGATAGATTTGATGAACGAAGTCAATGCGCTCACGCCATATTTCGTAATTCAAGGACTACCTACCAGACAAGAGGGTGGCCTCATCAAACAATTCTACTTCTGATATAACTACATAAAGATTTAATTTATCTTCTTTTGTGCAATATTGATATATAGATATATGCATGATTGGTCCTTATCAAAACTTTGAAGCACATGACATCTGAGGGATGGCAAGTAATTAATTCGACATATTTTTGTATCGGCTAAAACAACTGTACATGCAAACAAACAAATGTAGATGCATAAAATGAATCCCGCAACTACATTGCTTCTAACAGAGGTCAAATCATTAATTGCAGGTTATGGTTTAATAAAATTCATAAATCATATCATTAATTACCCAACCGCAAACCTTGACTCTTGGTCTCAATAGTCAATGATCATCAATACTCCATATTAATCTTATACGCAAATTGAGAACACGCATTGATCAAGTAAAACTTGTCACTAATAACTTAATAGTATTATCAATTAATTCAAGGTTGGTTCAAATTGGATCTGTATTTTACTGTTGGGTTTCATTTATAACATTAAAGCACATCTCTTATACTAATAGCTAGATTTTTTGCACAACTTTTTATTACAAAAGTTTTGTTTTGCAAGTTGTGTAACTTGACCTACTTGAGTTCCTATAAATAGCAGAGGACGGTCTAAAGACAATTTCACAATTCGAACCAAAATGGAAACCAAAATTCCTAAGTCAATGATCGCCGGAGTACAGAGTGTCATGCCGGTGGAAGTGACGCGACACCGGGAAATCCGTTCCATATCTGTCGTAGATCCCGTCGGAGTAGGAATATTCCGGAGAACGCTCAACATAGTTACTTATTACAAAGAAGCGTGCGATAGTGGTGATGAGAGAGGGTGGTTAGCCGCCGGGTGGATCAAGGAATCTTTAGGGAGAGCCTTGACGGAGCAGCCGATGCTTTCCGGTAGGCTACGGAGGAGGACGAAGTCGGCGGAGGATGGTCTGGAGTTGGTGGCCAATGACAGTGGTATTAGAATGGTGGAGGCTACGTTTCCGGCGAGTTTGCCGGACTTTCTTGAAATGGTGAAGAGAGACAAAAGCAGAGCTGAAGCAGAGACTGTCTTCTGGAAAGACATTGATGAAGATGAACCTCAATACTCTCCATTGTTCTATGTTCAGGTTATAATACAATTCCATTATTTATGAGATTTATCAAATTTTAATACATATATATATAGACTATAATTAAAAAAATTATTTCAATAAAAATTCTCAGACTTATTATCAAAAAAAAAAAAAAAAAAAAATTCTCAGACTTATAATGAATGTTTAAATTTATTTGTTTTTTGGTCTAAAAAAATTTCTTCATATAGAAAAATATTGAGGTTTTTATATATTTGTTAATAGGTGACTAATTTTGAGAGTGGCGGGTACTCAATTGGGATAAGCTGCAGCATCCTAATAGCTGATCTCCTCCTTGGGACAGATTTCTTGACCAAATGGGCTCAAATCCAAAGCTCTTTAGCTCATTCCCAAACTACACTCAAACCAATATTCCACCTCCCTTCTCTCAAGCAAGATTTTGGTAATTTCCTCATTGAATTTTCGAGGTCAGCCTCGGTTCTCGACCGCGGTGACCCTGTTGCTTTTCAGGCCAAAACATGTCTAAATATTTCACCAGCCTGCATTGGAACCCGCAAAAGAACGAGGGGGGATGTTTTCTTGTTCATTAAGGAACAAGACGGTGGCGAAAATAGTACCGGATGTGATGGTATGAAGGTACAGATACATTCGAGTGATGAAGTGATTAACGGTTGCGATTGCGGTAGTGATTTGGAGGAGACAAATGATGGAGTACTTGATAAGAGTTTAACGTTTGGGGAAAGACTTGAAGTTACTTCATGTTGGGTTGGGTGTGTCTCAAAAGGGGTTGTGTTTGTTTTCCCATCTATTTTTGAAGATGCCAAGTCGCTAGCCAAATTTATTGTTGCACTGCCAAAAGAGTAACTCAATAATATCAGTGACATGATTTGTTTAATGTTTCGAGTAATGTTATCAGTTTTAATGTAGATGTACTATGCTACTATTATAATGTTTGTTGAGTATTGATTGTGGTATCTTTTTTTTTTTTTTGTCGTCTAGATTTATTATTAATTGCAAATTATGAGAACTGTTATATAGACGATTCTACAACTGACAATTCCTTCCGACCCTTACTAGATTCACGACAGACTACACTTCCTTCTTCGTAATATTGATGAATACCTTCAATGATCCACAACCTGGCGATACTTCCTTCTCTGCGTAGAATCCTGGCGAACGGCTATAATTGTACATCGCTGGAGATCTCTTGCACACTTGCTTCCATTAATCTGCAAATTTGTTAATAAATCGCAATACCTGGGATTCGAACCCCAGACCTTTTGGTGTAGAAGCATTAATCAACCTTTGGTCAACCAATAGGTCAAGAGGGCTTCCACGATTGTGGTATCTTGTGAATTTTTTTTTTTTTTTTTTTGGTTTAAATAACTTGTGAAGTTGTATATTTCTGAAATGTCATTGATGTGTATATCTTAACTTGTAAAACACTGAATTCGATATATATATATATATATATTTATGTGTTTAAAAGACAATGAAAATATTATGGTAAAGCTAATTATGATAATGGAATAATCTCCGATATAATGCAAAACAAATGCTAGTACTTACGGCCACACACACAGGCAAATTATACAATTTGTTTACTAGCTGGGGTAAGACTAGAAGAGGAGATTTGCTTGGTCGCGATCCTATCTGCGCGGATTTCCCAACAGCACCAATTATAGGAGTTCAAGCCATCACTTAAAATGCAGAACATCGACCTATACCCGAATTCGTGTATTTATTGGCTATTACAACTAAAATGACAGCTTAGGAGAAGAACATTGATTAAGAGAATGGATCTGATATTTCTCCTACTAATGCAATCCTTATTATTTGATTAGATTGGTTTAAATATCGACGGGACATGTTGGGAAAAAGATGTATGAAAGTAGGTAAAGGGCAAGACAATATCATTTATTATTATACCCAATTGACATTGCAACTTCTATATATATAAGATTCAACCATGCAATCTCATAATGAACGTGTTGGTAGAAGAAATATGAATGGCATAAATATCATGATGGTGGTCCAGAAGAGCCATGTGAAAACATCGATCACTTCCCTCTTACATACCTCAAATCCCAAACCCATTTCAGACACAATATCTCTCGCTCTCTATGTCAATTTCACACATTTCCGATTTTACAGTGTGATTTCCAAATTAATTTATACAATAATATTAAAACCAGTTTAGGAATTTCTTTATATACAACTTTTTCCATCACTTCAAAAGAGAGTTTCTTTTTTTCCTACGTCTACTTATTACTATTCTTTTGTACAAAATCCTAAAAAGAAGAAAACTTTAAAAAGCCATGTTAAGAAGAAGAAGGAAGAGCTTCCTCTTGTCTCTTCTAACAATCCACTCTTCTCTTCTCTTCTCTTCTCTTCTCCTACCGCTTCTGCTAATTTTTTACAAGAACCTAAACTTAAGAGAGATGGAAGGAACCTTGACCTTCAGTTATGGCATAGATTAGCTTCTCCTTCATCTTCTCCTGCAAACACAGAGACAAGAAAACAAGACAGTGAGATTGATCATGAGACAGGCTTTTTTCCAGACAAAAGCCCTGAGTAAGAGGGCGGTTAACAAAAGATTGAAGAGAGATATCACTTTGGATGAATAAGCAGGAAGCTTCAGATAATTGGCGCATGTCATCACACTAGGGAGGTCAGTATCTGAAGAATCGCTACCATGCTGTTGCACAACAAAAAGAAAAGGCCTATGAGAAAACAGAAGAGATCATTTCACTAAATGTGAGAAAAAACAGAGAAGTTCAGTCACACTGGACCTTGCGGACAATTGTTAGTTTGGGATTGAGAGACGCCAAACCGCCATGAGGTAGCCGAGGAGATCCTGTTACAAATTGCAGAAACGCTCGTTGTTGCTCCCTGTCAAACTCATGCAGAATCTCCAACAACTGGAATACAAAAAAATTCAACCTTTTAGTTTATCCCAGAAAAGAATAACATAATGCAGAAAGAAAAGTAGATGCTTTAAAAGTTTTTAAAACCCAACATTTTCAACCGGTGGGCTGCTAGAAGTATATCCATGATCAAACTTGATGTGATCCAAGACTTCATTCATCTGCAAAGAAATCACTTTTTTCAGCTGATGAAAAACGTACTCAATACGTAGCATCTGAAGGTTTACTTACATTAAAGAGATCGCGTTCTCCACACAACATAGTTTCTAGCTCCTCTTCATTGAATATCCGAAGATGTTCAATAGGGAAAACCTGGAAAAAAGCATGTATAACAGAAGGAATGATGTAATCTTACTTAAATCTATAGAGAAGAGTATAGCTAAAGAGAAAAGACGACTACATACCTGATTAAATCCAGACTGAAAGGCTTCCACTTGTTTTTGGATACCATTACATACTGTGGCATTGACAATAGCCTTGATATATTCCTCGAGGTTATCCAAATTTACCTAGAAAGAGAGGATAGCAGATATAAATCCACTTGTTCAAGGATCTTAAGAAATAGATTAATTCACAGAACTAAAACACTACATACCATATCATTATCAGAATAGGGAGCAAGATCATAGTCTGTGTAGCCAGGTAATGCAAATCCAAGAGAAAGGTCCTCAATCTTTGTTCCATGGAAACTTAAATCACACTTGGCTGGTCGGGAATCACCATGTGCTTCATTGAAAACCTTTTTCCTACGTGCCAGAGCTTGCAATTCCACCATTGTTTTACAAAGTTCAGGGTCAACGAAGTGGATGTCAAATGAACTCAGCTCCTAAAAGAAAACAGGCTCTGTAAGATTCTCCAACAAAGTTGGAAAGAGATGTTGAAATGTACATGAAATACTTGAAGAACCCAATTTACCTGTCCGAGAATTAGTTTATAGAAGGCTTTGGAAAAAGGAAGGTCTAAGACTCGACCATCTTGTAAAGCCTTTGCTACCACTGTCCCCAAGAGGACAAATTTCTGCAGCACATCTGAAGTAGTTGATGTACCTGACCAAGGTCGTGGAAAGAGTCCTGAAGAAGATGCCAAAACTCCCGAGTGTTCACCTGGCTTCCCAACAAAGGAACTACAATCATTCCTCCACATACCAAGATCAGGATTTTGAAATGCTCTACTGACAAGTGTATAGAACTCCAGTGTTGGCCCAAGACCAGTTCCGACTTCTTCACTGTATTCAACCTCAATGACCACCTTCTGGTTGCCATATAACTCCATCATTTTGGCAGCAGACTCTAGAATTTTTTCACGGCAAACTAAGAATTTTTTACGAGGTAAACTGCCAGTTACTGGGCGCCCATCGCCTTGAACATTTGAACTGCTAAGGTGCTGTGGATGATGATGGACCTTCTGTGAACCAAAGGCTGCAAGTCTGAAGTATTTAGATTTGACTTCAAAACTAAACAAAAACGGACATGAATCCATTAGATCATTAAACCATGGTGGCAGACCGCAGGTTGACACAGCAAAAGAATCACGAAGCTGCTGCTCTAACTTCTCTGTAAGCTTGCTGCTAACAAATTCAGAATGTGGCACAGGAAGAACTTGTACCCTCAGATCATCCAAATTCTCCAGCCTACCTTCACCGAAAGCATTAACCCTTTCAAGAGAAATCAGGTGAAAGAGAAATCTGTTCATGCTCTCCAGACTCTTAAGCAGAAACAATATGTCATATGCAGAAGGACTTGACCCCTTGAGGCGCAAAGCAAGTTGATGAGCAAACAAATAGGATAAGAACGGACGATACTCCTCATCTTCCATAGATCCGGGTGGAAACAGATTTTTATGAAAATCCCCAAGTTGTGCAGCCCTTTCATATGTGATGTTGTGGGGTCCACTCAGCTTCAAACCGTTGGTAGTTTCACTTTCTGATTTTAGTTTGTGCAAGAGCATTGCCTGATATACTGTCAAAGAACGGTCTAGTTCAAGCCCTTCAAGACGAAACAAAAGACTAGGTAGCGCATCCTCTTTTTCAGAAGAGGTTCCAGAGGAGGAAGCATTCTGTTGTCCTGAACCACTACATAGTCCTGGAAGCTGCGTCCGATCTTCCACTTGAGATCCCTTGACACAAAAAAAATTCCAGAGAGTCAGAGACACAAGATTAATTTACTAAAATACCCCCTGGGCTCAAAGAGAAGGAAAGACACCTAGGAAGAAAACTTCGTGTCAAGTAAACAACCAAAACACTACCTAATGCTCATCTTGAAAACAAAACCATTACTATTATTCCATCTTGAACACTTTCACTATTTGAAGAGAATTCAGTTCTAGTACATAATTGCTTCCCCTGAACTCATGTAGGAGAAGTTTGAATCACTCCTAATCGGAGAAAATCCTGACAATAAAAAGAAAGGTTGCACACACTACTTCCATAAGACTAGATTAAGTCATTTTAGAAAATACCTGCAACTGGGACGCATCAGAAGACTCACTGTCAATCTCCATAGGACTCGAGCTTTCACCTTGACAAGATATCGAAGTTGACTGCAATTGAGAAGATTGGCATTCTATAGCTTGATCTTTTGCTTCCACAGAATCCATAGGTTCTATATTAACTTTAGGCCACAAGTATTGATCGACAGCATCCAAATAGCAAAGTGGGTCAACAGTGACAAAGTCTTGGGAGTAATCACGCAAAGATGTCTCCCCCTCTGCTTTCAGAAAACGAACTTTTAGGCATGGATAACTAGTGCAACGCCCATTTGGAATAGCCGCAAATGAGTTCTTTTGCTTCAAAAATTGACTTAGGACAATTGGGAAGTTTTCCAAAGAAGACAAGGAATTTTGGAGCTTCTGTATTAACAATGATGAAGTTGCCTCGCCATCAGACCAAAGTAATCTTGTGAACACCTCAAATCTCTTACCAACAAATGGTAAACTATCACATTCGGGATCCCCTTTGCTAAGTTTCCTTTGATAGAGTCCATTAGAAAGATAGTTTGCCAGTGACTTTACAACTCCACTCTCTGTAAATTCAAAAGTCGACACAGATTCCCT